ATGAAATTATGCTTTTTTTTATGAGGTGTATTGTCTACATTTAGGGTTGAGAGGAGTGTTAATATGGTAAAATTCAAGATTATAGACGTTTTGACCCTAAGTAAGTGCAGTTTCTTTCTTTCCTTCCTTCCTTCCTTTCTTCTTCTTCTTCTTCTTTTTTTTTTTTTTTTTGAGACAAGGTTTCTCTTTGGCTTTGGGGGCTGTCCTGGAACTAACTCTTGTAGACCAGGCTGGTCTTGAACTCACAGAGATCTGCCTGCCTCTGCCTCCCGAGTGCTGGGATTAAAGGAATGTGCCACCAACTCCTGGCCTAAGCACAATTTCTTTAATTGCCATATCACTTTCATTTTCTTTTGAGATGGGTTCTCATTATGTAGCCCCGAGTAGCTTGGAACTTGCTTTGTAGACCATGCTGGCCTGGAACTCTGGGAAATTGCCTGCCTCTGTTTCTGGGTGCTGTGCAGGGGGGCACCGTTATGCCTGGCTGTGCTGTTTCAAGTCCAAATTTGTTTTTAACGTATTAGTTTGAGATGTGTTTACGAAAACACACACTTCCTCCGTAAGCAATTTTAGGCTGATTCACTTGTGTTCACGTTTTAAAATTTTCATCAGGAAAATCTCCCAGGGGGAGGGAGGGGCTTCTTTCCTTTTCGTGTCCTCTTCATTTTCCCTGTCTCTCTAGCCCGTCTCACCATCAACGGTTAGAAGCTAAGCATGGTGTCCAGATAATAAAAATAAAAGCCTAAGTTAGACGGTTGTGGCTGAGTGGAGCCGACAGGCGGGGTCACAGATCCGGAGGCAGAAAGGAAGGTTTGTGAGCCTCCTGAGACCCCGTACTTCCCGGCCTGTTCGTAACCTCGGTGTGGGCTTGGTCATCGGGAAAGGCCGTTCTCGTCCGGTAGTCTTACTCAGGCTTCCTCAGGCTTCAGTCTCGTCCTTTGACCCGGTTTTTAACCCCCGCTTCGGAATCAGTCCGCACGCAGCAGGGCCAGGGAACCCACGTTTCTATTTAGGAAGGATTCCGACTCGGCAAGCG